TATTTCTCAGTTTTTAACTTTATACATCAAAGTTTCTTTTCATACTTTCATATGCTTACTGAGGAAATCTCATTTTTTTAAGTATTTTGTTACAGTTTTCTTTTTCTTGTTTTTTTTTTCTTTAGTGGTGGAAATTTTTATTAACTACTTTTTAAAATTCCCATGTTCTGCTTTAGTTTTGATGAATTTTTATTTATTCAGTAAATATTTACTGAGCTCCTACTGCTGTCATTTGTTTTTTATTACTTTTTTAAATTTTAAAATTAAATTTATTGTAGTAGCCTGGTGTAGATTAAAATTATTTGCATCTTTGAGTTTGTATGAACATGGCTAGTAGCTTGGGAGTAATTCTAAGCTCAAATCTAACCTTCTTCTTTCCATATCACAAGTATGGTTTCTTTATAGGAGGACTTTTGTGACGCAGTGGGGGCTATAGTGGGGCTGGTTGATGACCTTACATATCGACATTTTTTGTTTGGTCCTGTAAGGTGATAATTTTTCCTCTTGCTTCTTTTTTTCCTTTTTTTGTGCATTTTTAAAAATATTCAACTCTCTCTTTCCTCTTTTACCATTTTATATCTCCAAATAGTACCTTTTCCAAGACTGCTTTCTTGAGTCCTACACACAATTTTAAGTAACTTCCTTAAAGGCTGACCTTTCAGAAAAACTTGAGAAATTTCAAACTTTAGTTGAAGGGAACTGAAGTTTCTGCTGCTGCCCAACCCCCACCAGCTACACCTTTTGGTTATTAAGAAACAGATAACTCAGAAACAAAGGGATGGGATGACTCTCCTCCCACAATCCCTTTCCTGACTAAGAGATTCAGATACAAAGACCCTTTTCAGAAAGGAAATCTTAGAATGTTTGCCTTAGCCTAATTTGAATTGAATACATGGATGGGAGGGCTCCAAGCAGGAGTCTGGTAACTAGATCACCCATTGAAGGTCCCACTGAATAGAGTCCCATTGAAGGAAGAATTTGCCCGCCAAGTGTGCTCTGTTTTTCCTCAACTATCTGTAAATGGTCTATTCTCACTTCTGAAATCTAAGATCCCATTGCCCCCTTTTTCTCCTTTGTCCAAATAACATGTATATCCAATTTTGCCTCCCTGTCTTTGGAATTTTCATGTTTATGCAAATTCCCTGGATTTGCATATTAACATTTTTATTTTCTTCTGTTAATCTGTCTCTATTAATTTGATTATTAGCCTACATAGAAGTTGGAAAGTGGGGAGGAGAGTATTTTTGTAGCCCCCATAGGGTAAACGTTCATTTTTGCAAGATTTTAGACCAATCTTAAGCTTCCTGCTGGCTTTTCTTCCTTTCATGCAGTATTTATTGGATTGTCCTTCCTCCACAGGATGGCATGTGATGGGAGCCTAATAGATAGCTCATTGTGATCTCCTGTTTAATTTTCTTATTTGCAAATATTTCAGAATATGGTTGATTTGATAGGGGACTTAATAGTTGGAAAATTTTAGTTTAAAGTAAATATTTATAAGCCTAGCAAGTAATGTATATGTTAAAGTTTTTGTTCCAGAAATTACAGATAGATAAGGCCCATCCAGCTCCTGGGAAGACAGTTGACCTCCTGGGGCACTGCTAAAGATTACCACCTGAGGACAAGTGGAGGCATCCAGGCCATTGTGTTCCAGGGAGAGACAGATGACCACCCATCTCTGGGAACAGCTAACTGCCCAGGAGAAGAATGCTGCAGTCTTTTTCACCCCAATTCTCCATGAATTTCAAAACCCCTCACTGCACCTTATTTATTCCCTGTTATAAAAAGACTGGCCTGGAAAGAAAAAGGGAAGATGGTTCTTTTGGGTGAGAACCTGCCTCCTTCTCAGATCACGGGCCATCTGAATAAAGCGCCCATAAAGATTCAATCGCTGTCATTGCTTATTGGGTTTGGTAATGACAGGAAGCCCTAATGCTGGTGTCGTTTCTGGTTTCAGTTTTCCAAATTTGATGGTGGTATTGTGTAGTTTTATTTATTTTCTGTTGTACTTTCCTATTGGGTATGGGGATGGTTGTGTTACCAGATATGGATTTAAGATGACACTATTTTTTGATCACCCATATACTTTTTAAAGGACAAACTGGCAATATGAAGCAGACAGTAAAAGACAAAGCATACCTTCTAAAGCATATTATTTTCAGTAATCTTTTCTCACATAAGTTTTGAGCCATAGAGTAGTACAATTCTCAGAGCTGAGCTGATAAAATACTTCCTCTTTGAGATTAATGGATTGTTAAAAAAATAAAGATAAAAACAGATATTCTGAGAATACTATTTAGAAAATGCCTTTAAGATAATCTATTACCGGACTTCCAGCAAGATGGAGGCATAGGTGGATGCACCGTACCTCCGTGTACAACAAAGATTAGAACAACAACAATTTAGAGGCAGAATAACACCCAGAACTGACAGAGAATTTATCTGAATGGAAGTTGGACAGCCAGGAAGTTGAAGTTGACCCGTTCATCCAGACCGGTAGGAGGGGCAGAGACTAGCAGCAGGAGAGCACGGAGAACAGGGAGAACTGGGCGCATAAGCCATGGGGGCATGCAAGATCGCAGTGGGTGGACCCTGAGTACGCAAGCAGCAGCTGGCAGACCCAGTGAGGCTGCAATTGTGAACCATGGCAGAGCACGCAACCCAGGATCCCAGGGAAGGCTCTGAGGTCCCAGGAGAATGGAGCTCCCACCATTGCTTCCTCCCGCCCCTGCCCCCACATACAACGTCACAATCTAGCCACTGGGGTGCCCAGCCCCGGAGAACACCTAAGGCTCCGCCCCTCACCATAACAGGAGCAACATGTCACAAACAGAAAAACAGATCAATGCCCCAGGGCTCATCCTTTTGAGCGAAGAAGAGATTGCCAATCTATCAGATGCACAGTTCAAAACACTGGTGATCAGGAAGCTCAGGGAATTGGTTGATTTTGGGTGCAAATTAGATAAGAAAATGCAGGTTACCATAAAAGAGATGAAGGAAGATGCACGGAGAATCAATAGTGATGGGAAGGAAACTGGGACTCAAAACAATAGAGTGGACCAGAAGGAAGGAAAAAACAAACAAACAAACAAACAGGAAAGAATGAAGAAATAAGAATTCAAAAAAATGAGGAGAAGCTTAGGAACCTCCAGGACATCTTTAAACGTTCCAACATCCGAATTATAGGGGTACCAGAAGGGGAAGAGGAAAAGCAACAGATTGAGCACGTATTTGAACAAATAATAAAGGAGAACTTCCCCACTCTTGCAAAGGAAATAGACTTCCAGGAAATCCAGGAAGCTCAGAGAGCCCCAAAGAAGTTGGACCCAAGAAGAAACACACCAAGGCACATCATAATTACATTAGCCAAGGTAAAAATGAAGGAGAGAATCCTAGAAGCAGCAAGAGATAAGGGGACAGTCACCTACAAAGGAGTTCCCATCACACTGTCAGCTGATTTCTCAAAAGAGACCTTACAGGCAAGAAGGGGCTGGAAGGAAATATTCCAAGTTATGAAAGACAAGGACCTATATCCCAGATTACTCTATCCAGCAAAGCTTTCATTTAGAATGGAAGGGCAGATAAAGTGCTTTTCAGATAAGGTCAACTTAAAGGAGTTCATCATCACCAAGCCCTTATTTTATGAAATGCTAAAGGGACTTATCTAAGAAAAGAAGATAAAGAAAAAACATGTATAGTAAAAGGACAGCAAACTCACAATTATTAACAATCACACCTAAAGCAAAACCAAAAGAAACTAAGCAAACAACTAGAACAGGAACAGAACCACAGAAATGGAGATCACATGGAGGGTTAGCAACAGGGGAGTGGGAGGAGGAGAGAGGGAGAAAAGGTACAGAGAATAAGTAGCATAGATTGTAGGTTGAAAATAGATAGGGGGAGGGTAAGAATAGTATGGGAAATCTAGAAGCTAAGGAACTTATAAGTATGACACATGGACATGACTAAAGGGGGGGATATGGGTGAGAGAGGGTGTACAGGGTGGAGGGGAGTGAAGGAGGGAAATGGGACAACTGTAATAGCATAATCAATAAAATATATTAAAAAAGATAATCTATTATCGCCGTATATTTAGAACAGAAGAAATAGTTTTTATGTTCCATGGAAGATTTTTTTAAGGATTTGAGAACTAGGTACACTTTCAGTATCATTCCAGTCTAGTCCAATTCCATCACACACTCCAGGGAATAGGGAGTCTATTTCACTCCTCTGTGAGATGAGCATATCAGTAATCAAATTCAAACTGGGGTCTCAAATTTGCTGATAAAGATCCTTTGTAGTTTTATAGAAGTGACTTTGATCTTTATACATACTAGCTAGAAACAAAATCTAAGTTAAAACACATATGAAACAGAGATGGCAGAAAATCAAAAGAAAAATTAAAACCTCTTTAAAATCAATATATCAAAACTTTCATTGCCTGAATCTTTATCATGATAATGTGACCTTGCATTTATGTTACTAATTAATTTGTTATCCCCTGTGTCCTTATAAAAACATAAATTGTCAATTCTATGAAGAATAGCTGTTATTGATAATTTATTATGTGACAATCACTCTGCTAACATTTAAAAAGGTTACTAAAAATATATTTATTAAAATGATGAGCGCTTTCACCTTTTTCTGTATGAGACAGTACTAGGTATGTATACTGCTCAGAATATAGGGGTAGGAGTATGTTTCTGACACTGTCCCATTGTAAGGCAACCATCATTGTTTACAGATGACACTGAGCAATAGAGTATCTATGTATGATCTTAATATATTATGAAATGTCTGTTTTACCTTTTGAAGTCTGCTACTGATTTATTTAATAACTACTACACACACATCCAATTTCTTCTGTCACATAATTTGCTTTTTTCTTCATTTTCCAGATGATACCAGCAAAATAATAGTCTTTATGAGTGCTTACTGCAATACCTGACACAAATTCATGATATAATTTAATATTTAAAAACTAATAAAATTGTACTTACCATAAAGGATTGTGAGCAGAGACAGTGGCATGACAAGTAGTCCCACTAGCATATCTGCGATGGCTAGGGACATTAAGAAGTAATTGGTGGCATTGTGCAGTTTCTTTTCCAAGCTTACTGCCAAGATAACGAGAATGTTGCCACCTATTGTCAGGATTACTATTAGGACGATTGGAAGTGCTGGCCAGTTTTGTACCCCATCTGGGAATTTGAAGCGTCCACCATCGGAGGTATTGAAAATGTCAGTTACTATGGCTGCAACTGGGCTCACAGAAATATCACATTGCCAAACCAATAGGCCAATTAAGTGCACACTGAAAATAAGAAAAACAAAAATCAGGTACATATTATACATAGCGGGTCAAAAGTAGGTTTACAGTTGTGAGTACATGAAGCACAAAGTTTATTCTTGTATTATTATTTATTAATTATTGTATTATTTTCCATATCAACTGTAAACCTACTTTTGCTCCACCCTGTATTGCTTAAATACAGTAAATTGTCTGTACGAAACAACTGCTTTTCCTTCATCATCACCATCATCATTTCTACTCATAACAAACCTCAGTATATTTTCTATCCAAAGAATACTTTTTATTGTGTGCTTATTATGAGTCAGGCACTTAGCTTACCAAAATATATATCTATAATCTCATTTGATTTCATACAACAACCTCATTAGGTCAGTGATGATTTATATCCTTTATGTAAATTAGGAGATAAATTCAGAGAGGTTAAGTAACTTTCTTAAGGCAATATAGCCAGTAAGTGGCAGAAGAGTCCATATTCAGGTTTCGCTAATTTCAGAGCTGGTATTTTAAACTTTTACTCTATGCAAATATTCTGAAACCATAGTATATTGCTCCATTGACTGTAATGGTCTATTCTTTATACTTTAAAAATATTCACTTTTTTTAGATATCATTTAAGACAACTGAAAACAGAATGAGAAGACTTAGTTTTAAGTATCCAGTAATATTATTAAAGATAATTAGAAATTGTCTTTCAAAATCCAAAACTGAGAACTATGTTGCCATCAGATCAGCTTCAGGCAAGGTTTTGAAAGAGATACAGTGGGTTTCGGCAATGGCACATATTCATCATTTTTAAATAACTCTTCTTACTTTCTCACAGTCCAGAGTGACTTTATGCTGGTTCATAGTTTCTTAATATCAGTGCTAGAAACTTTCTTATTACCTGACACTCTCCCCATTTGTGTCATATTTTCTGGACCCTGTTCTGGCTGGAAAATGATTTGTGTTGATGATTAAATCTTATGGGTTTGCTGCTTTCCTATACTGGGAGTCATTTAGAAGGTATGTTTCTCATGATAGTACTTTGGTAGATTCTACCAGTAGAAATTTCAGGCCAGGCTGCAGATTAATGCAAGAGTGTGGTTATGTTTTGCACATTCCAAATTAATTTCTCCTGGTGGTGATATGAGATTTATTCAAGTTATATACATTGTCTTTTCAAAGTGTAAGATTTTAACATGTCTAATAAAATGAACATTTATTTTAATAAAATAGACAAGAAAGACAAGCATATTCAAAATTTCCTGCTTAAAATCAAGGGCTATTATCTGTGCTTGAATGTCTTATGTGTATTCTATAATATGTTCAGTAATAGTTATTTAATTAATATTAAACAATGACTAAACTATATGTAGCGGTTATTATGTATAGGGGAGAAAATTTCCTGTACAAGTACAATATGTGCTGAACAATTTTGTATGCAAAAAGTTGAAGTAATATTCTTTCTGGAATTGGGGAGATGGAACATATGATACTACAACATCCAGAGTCTATGAAGCCTTTACCTAAATGCCTTTATTTTATCATCTCATTCACTTGGTCTTTGAACTTAAAATATTAACTCTTTACAGGGAAATTACATGTGTGATTTGATTGACTCATTCTTTATTATCAATCATCAGAGAAACTTATTGTAGTAAAACTAGATAATTGTGTTATAATAATCATATCTATACTATTATACATACACACATGCACACACACCATGCCTTCTGAATCCAAACTATAACACTCTGGCTGAAAAATTTTGGCGTTATTTAAACTTAAAATATTATAATAATTTAAAGCACATTAAAATTATTTCTCTTAATATTTTGTTAATACACAATGGATTTTAAGATAATGAAGAAATCATGACATTATTTTCACTTTATCATTTTACAATGGATAGAAAATTAATACTTTAGACATCCAGCTTAAAATTACTTTCTCAATTGTCAAAGCTAACATATTGTAAGCAACATGGAGCGAGGAGACACACATAGTAATTTTTATCAAATAATGAGAAGTAATCAGTAAATACTCTCAAAGGTATGTTGTATTATTTTCCTGGGATATTAAAAAGTAAGATAAAATAATATATGATTTACATAATTTATATCATAATGAATATGTGATTGATATGAATACAAATTATTGAATAATGGACCAACTCAATAGAAGCAAGTTATTTCCTTTCAGCTTTGATTACTTTGTCATTTTATTTGTAGCATTTGGCATGTGGCCAATGTCCAGGCTACATGACCTCAATAATTTTTTTGACCAGTCACTTAACCTCTCACAACATTAATTTCCTCATCTGCCCAATGAGGATGATTTCTATTGCCTGATTATTGTGAAAAATAAATGGTATGTGTAAAGTCCTGAAAGTTGTGCCTTTGTTATAATAAGTCCTCAGTAAATGTTGGAGCTTACCTTCTTTCTGCCTTCAAAGGTAAACAAGTATTTTCTGGTAACTATACCCCAATTCATGTATTTTAAAATTCACCAAGAACTTAAGTCCTGATTTTATTTTAAGACTTTCTTATTTATGCACAACTAAGCTCAGATAGTAATTTTAAATCTTAGGTCTTTTCTGGCCTAAATAATAATAATAATAATAATAATAATAATAATAATAATAATACTGATGGTGATGTTTCTGCCATTAATTTTTTTCTCTTTCAAATTACATGGTGATCATCTCAAATAATACTACAAGACTTCATGCTCACAATAGTATACTGCACCTTCAATTGTCATTTGCAAAGCCACAAATAATATATTTATCCTTAAGCCTACAGAATAAGGTCCTAACAGAATATGCAGTACAACTTCACATTTTTAAAAGGAAATAGTGGAAACATCTAAATCTTTTCATATTTCTCTAAAATAGTGGAGGAATAGAGAATAAAATTGCACATAACAAAACACATAAAAACTATGTCCAATTATAATTTTTTAACTTGAATATCTTAGAACTTTAGGGTAGAAAACTACTTTAAGTATACCTCTATTGGTCAGCTATCCACAAATATTATTAAAGAGACCTTACGACAAATACTGAACTACTAAGGAAGTTTGTAAAATCTAAATACACATATTGTGAATTATAAAATAAAGTAATGGTGCTGGGAAAGATCCTGAAAGAGTATTTACTTTAGTTCCCTGGTTTCAATTCAATTCAACTTAATAAATTGCTATTGAGTATTATTTATGGGCAATTATTGATACTATGAGTTTTATTTTAGAGTTTTATAATAAAACATGGTTATATTAAAATTAAATTTCTAATATTTACATGTTTGGTAAAATACATATAGTCCTTTCACAAAAAGGAGTAATTTAGGTCTTGCTCCTAAAGCTGATATAAATTGTTATTAAGCCTGCAGAAGTCTAATAAAATGTATGCCCCAAAATCACAAGTTCTCTTAGAACAGTGCAAATAATTTATTCATTGCTACAAAATTTTTAATGAAAATATAATGTTACATTCTTAGTAGATAAACAAAATGATAATTTAATTTAAGAGTCTGAGTACACTTTAAATCTACTGTTTTTCCCTGGCCTATGACAATGAGCATTATTAGAAGTAATGAATGGTTCCTGTTTCTCTTAATAGATGGACAGAAGCTTATATGAATTCCTTAGTTTCATACCAGAATAATTTGGTACCTTTTAAAGTAGTCCTGCATTTTGGTATATAGACCAATGGCCAAATACTGAGTTGGCACAGGCACATGGAATATTTGTCCTTTCATTTTCTTATACCTAACTTCTCTTTTCTTTATCACTGTCTACCATTTCCTTTTCCTTTCTGCTCTAGTTCTCTTGGAATCACACATCCATGAAACTACCGTTACTATAATGTGCAATGACATCCAAGATGGTCTACAATGGTGCATACTGGAGAGGAATTGATGTTGATATACTTTACACCTACACTACTCTGTAAACTTTTTTTTTGAGTGAACTCTTTTGCACAAATTATAGAGGAGATTGTACAGAAACAAAGCAATTCAAGGCTTCTCCACTGTGTGGGTCAGAGTGTACAGAGCTCTGGATCTTTTGTCAATATCCCATTCCTCAAAGAGTAGGTTTAGAAGAAATCAACCTCATGTTTACCAAGTTAAAAAGAAGATATGCCTGGATTAGATCATGTTTAGAATTGCTCAGTACTTCAATCCAATTCTTTACTTATCCCCTTTACGTTTACATTGTATTGATTTTAACCACTGGGTCATTGTATCAAGACTTCCAAAGATGGCATTGTTTTCATCTTTATAGTTACATCCCCCAACCTCTGTTACTTGACTTCTGATCCATTCTTTTTCAACCTCAAATATTCTTTATAAAACCAGAAACATAAAGACATTTTATTTTCTCAGCTGTTGAGTTCATGCAGGAAGAAAAAGGAAAGGATCTTTTCATTTCTGTGTTTTAACTATGGAAAGGCAAACATTGGCATTGGTATTATTTTTTAATGACAGGTATCATTACCATAGTACTTGCTTGAATACACAAATAGTTGTGTTTAATCAGAGTTCAAATATCTGTCTTTTCCCTTTTATTGTTTTTTCTTCACTGTATTTGTTTATTTTTTGTTGTTGTTGTTGTTCAAGTACAGTTGTCTCCATTTTCCCCACACCACTCCCCCCACCCCAGCCATCCCACCTTCCACCCTCCATCCCATTCCCTGGCTCTATCTATGTATCCTTTATTAGCTCTTCCTGAAATAGATGTTCCATTTATTGTCTTTAATAGGAAACACCCATAATATTAGTCTATTGTAACAAAAGTAATTTATGTAGATTGAAGAAAATATAGCTGAATGATCATAAAGAATCCTTGTTAACATTTTTGAGTAAGCTACCATAAAGTTATCTTTTAAAAAATAATAAATAACAACAATAAATAATAACATCCTTACAGGAATGAGTGTACTGCTTTCCTCAGGTTCACCATGATTGCTTCAGGTTTAAGCAACCAAAATTTAAAATTGAGAAAAGGAAATTTATATTAGATTCATAATGCCATTCTTTCTGGTGAGAAAAAAGAAAAAGAAAAAGAAAAGAAAAAGAAAATTAGTTAAGGGTTTAAATAATATATAACAACCAATTAAATGAACTTAAATATACTTATTAAGTGATAAGAAACAACCAATACTAAATTTGGCAAACAGGTAAAAATTTTATACAAAATAAGTGATAAAAAAGCAAAGAGAACAAATTTTTCATTATTTATCAATATACAACCATCATAGTTTTTCTAAAATTTATTGTATACACTTTATTTATATTTATATTCATTATATACACTTTATTTCTACTTAATCTCCCCCTGTTAGAGGGCAGAGAGCTTCAAATCAGTGTTTTGAGAAAGAAATTAAGATTATGTGTTTCTTTAACTTGCAAACCATTAGGGCAAATTTTGTGATCTAATTCAGTAGCACTAAAAAGTAAAAAATTTTTATCTTATAGGAATATGGAAAACTAAAACAAGTTTTAAGCATTTTTATAAATTGAACATATTTTGTACAACATTTTAAACTTTTTTCTTCAAAGTGAAGCCATCTGCATTTACATAGATAACTTTATTTATATTTTTGTTTTAATCAACAATATTCTCCACAGGGCAGAAACAGGTTTATACCAAAATAAATGAGTTAATTATGTGCATTAAATATAGCAAAAAACCTCATGTATCAACTAATTAGTATCCAACAGATAGTATGTTACAGTCAGGAGACATGGAATAAATGCTGAAAACTACAAACAAAAAGTTACTTGCACTAGATGACTGAAAGAAAAATTTTTAGTTTGTTTTATTAAGAGGTGACAATGTATCATCAAAGGTACTATGAAGGAAACATGACAAGTCTCCAAACAACTTATTAAAGAATTTTAGAGTGAATATCTTTGATTTACATAATCTATTTTTCAAGGAGTCATTTGTTTCATTACAAAGCCCACCAAATATTTCCATAGCAGATTATTTACCACTTAGCATGCACTATATTCAGTATGCTAAAAGGTTGGCCAAGGTACACTGGATGCAAATTTGCTGAGAACCTCTGCTACACTCCTTGTGAAAATAATATCTTACAGAGTGAAACATGTCACTCTCATCCTTTATATTGACATTGAATGAATACTCAGTAGTGATTCTAGTGATGAACATAGAGACTCTTTGGTTTTTCTGTTTAGTGGTTCCTAACAGGGAATAGAATAGATAAACATCTCTGTTCTCCATCTTGTTTTTCTATTTTATGATTTTGATTGTACTCTCTTCCCATACCAAACATCCAACTGTACTTGTTTCTGAGATCACAAGCTATTGAAAGAGTCAGGATGGCAACATTGTCGATGAGAAAAATGTGTGTGTGTGTGTGTGTGTGTGTGTGTGTGTGTGTGTTGAGAGAGAGAATGTAATAGCTTGAGAATGAGAAATAACATGAAACAACCATTGTGTCTAATTTGGAAATTTTCAAGAACTACAACAAACAGTTGTTGGTAATCTTTTAAAGTGTTTTCTAGTTCCTTTTAAAAATTTGGAAATAAAATTTTACTAGAAAATTATGAATTTCCCCATATTTTCCATCTCATTTATTGGCAATATTATTCTAGTCACTCAAGCTACAAAGTTAATTTATTCTCTCTTCTTATTTATCAACTTTCACTGGTAATTTCTATCAATTCTGTCTACAAAAAAATCTATCTCAAAATCATCCCCTTAACTATAGTAATACATAAAATATGACCTCTGATTTCCAGAAAACTTAAATATACTACGGAAGAGATAGAATGCCATTAGCCAGACCATTTCTATCCCATAAAGTTCTACCAGACAACATTTTGCATACTTTAATTTCAGAACAAAATAAAAATACACAACAACAATCAAACCCAATGTCAAATGAGAAGAGAAGGCTTGAGGCCCTTGTAACCTGCCTTAGGCAATGACAGGAGAAAAAACCCACTAAACAGAAGAGGAAACCAGGTGGGCCAGGGTCACTCAGGCCTGCTGGGGAAGTCATGAAGACAGTACACAGAGGACACAAGGTCTGCAGGTAGAAACTTCTAATCTAGTTCTTCCAGGTGAGAGGCATCCTTGTCACCCTCAAGGAGGGGGATCTCACCAGGAACAGCAGCATTGGGTTCTTCTGCTGTCACTTTATCTTCATCAATCCCTAGACCTAGCTTGATCATGTGATAGACGTGGTTGGAGCGGGTCTGTGGATCCTCATGTGAGAAGCCAGAAGAAAGCAGCAGTTTCAAACAGCAACATCATAAGGTCCTTGACAGCCTTGTTATTCTTGTCTGCCTCTGCCTTCTGTCATAGAGTCCCCACAATGGGGTGGACAGGGTTAATATCCAGGTGCTTTTTGGTCATTATGTAACCCATTGTAGAGTTATCACAGAGTGCCTGGGCTTTCATGATATGCTCCATATTAGCTGTCCAGCCATAAGTGCTAGTCACAATACAGCAGGGTGAAGACATGAGCCTATTGGAGATTATCACTTTCTCAACCTTCTTATCCAAGATCTCTTTCATGAGTTTGCAGAGATTCTCAAACTTGGCCTTGCTCTCTTCCATTTTCTTCTCATCTTCATCCTCGGGTAGCTCCAGGCCCTCTTTGGTAACTGAGACCAAGCTCTTCCCATCAAACTTCTTGAGCTGCTGTACACAATACTCATCAATAGACTCCATCATATATACTACCACCTCAAAACTCTGCTTCTGTACTCGATCCACAAAAGCAGAGTTGGCAACTTGCTCTTTGCTCTCACCAGTGATGTAATAGATGGACTCCTGGGTCTCCTTCATGTGAGAGACATATTCCAAAAGAGAAATCATTTCACCCCCAAACTGGGAGGTGTGATAATGCAGAAGCTCAGAAAAGCATCACCAGTTAGTTGAGTTCTCATGGATTCCAAGCTTTAGGTTTTTAGAGAATACCTCATACAATTTTTTATAATTCTCCTTGTCTTCCAACAGCTCAGAGAAGAGCTCAAGGCACTTAACAATGTTTTTATGGATGACCTTCAAGATTTTGCCCTGTTGGAGCATCTCTTGGGGGATGTTCAGGGTCAGATCCTCAGAGTCAACCACACCATGGATGAAGTTGAGGTACTCCGGTATCAATTCATCACAGCTGTCCATGATGAACACATGGTGGACATACAGTTTGATGTTGTCATTCCTGTTGTTCTCAAAGAGGTCAAAAGGAGCCCCATGGTGAATGAATAACAATGCCCTGAATTCCAACTGACCTTCTATAGAGAAGGGTTTGACTGCCAAATTGTCTTCCCAGTCATTGGTAAGCCTCCTATAGAACTCTCCATATTCCTCCTGGGTGATGCTATCAGGATTTCTGGTCCAAATGGGCTTGGTGTTGTTCAGTTCTTCATGATCAATATATTTCACCTTAATCTTCTTAGGTTTTTTTTTCTTATCCTTAGCATTATCATCCTCCTCATCTGAGCCCACCTCTTCAATCTTGGATTTCTTCTCATCATCTTTACCTTCCTCTTCTTCCCTTTCTCTTTCTCTGCTTCATCACCACTGATTTCTTTCTCTAGTTGCTTCCTCAAATAAAGGGTGATGGGATAACTTATGAACTGTGAGTGCTTCTTCACCACTTCTTTGACCTGCCTCTCCTAGAGGAGAGCACTCTGGTCTTCTTTAAGGTGAAGGATCACTTTGGTGCCCTAGCCAATGGGCTCACCATGGTCAGCTTGCACAATGAAGGAACCCCCAGAAGAAGACTCCTAGGCATACTGTTCATCATCATTGTGCTTTGTGATCATTACTACTTTTTCTGCCACCAGGTAGGCAGAATAAAAGCAAACAACAAATTGCCCAATCATGTAGATGTTCACACCAACCTGAAAAGCCTCCATAAATGCTTTTGTACTAGATTTAGCAATGGTTCCCATATTATTTATGAGATCAGCTTTGTTTATGCCAATGACTGTGTCTGCCAGAGTCAAAGTGTGTTCCTGAGGATTAAGGATGATGTCAATTTTCATTTCTTTACCACCGTACAACTTGGAAGGGTCAGTAATGCTCTCATAGTGTATCTTGACCAAGGCATCAGAAGCATTACTGATGAACTCCCAAAGGAATATTTCCTTGTTAGAGTAGAAGATATTGATGATGAGAGACATGAGTTAGGCAATTTCTGCCTGGAAAGCAAAAGTCTCTACCTCCTCCTCTCCATGGCGTACTTCCTCAGGCATCTTGAAAGTGAAGAGATGCAAGTACCAGAGAGCAGGGACTATTTTTGGCTCACACACCACAAACTGCATGAGCAGGGTTGACTCAAGAGACAAGAATTGTGTTTTAATAAAATAAAGAAAAAATCACTTTTGGGATAATGGAATAATTAATTTTAATGAGAATTTATATGATTCTCATAAGAACTATGATCATGTAACAATATAAAATGTTATAAGAATATATGCACATATTTATATGTGTATATATACAGAAATATATATAATAATTCTGTGTGCTGTGTACAGAAAAACATTGATTAACCTGACATCAATCAGCTGTCTTAAGAATGAAGAAAAAATCACAAATTAAAGCAACACTGAAATAAGTTTAGAATCAGTACACATTTAAGCCCATCTCATTTCCTACTTCAGCATAATTTACAAACCTTTTCATGGTCCCTCTAAAGCACTGTAAGATCTTCAGACATCAATAACACTAATTACATTTGCTAAAGCAAAAAGAGGGACAAATATTAGTTTTCATATAGTTCTCAATAGTACAATGTTACCCAAAATATTGCAGAATAACCTCAATTAATATGACATTTTAATTAAGTAAAACTCACACCCTGAGTATTATACTTAATGCTTATGAATCTATGCTTATATGTCAATATGTCATGTGTCATAATGCATATATCATCAAATATAGTGTGAACATTTAAAAATATTTGAACCAAAACA